CAGTTGCATGCCACCTAAATCAGTTCAGTTTGTCCAGGACCTAGACCCGAGGTCCCAAAAGTTGACTCTAAGAAACCAGGTAGGTCTCAAAAAGCAAGTTGGCTACCGTGAAGGCTTAGCGCCATCTGTCGGTCATTTAGGGAACTGCCTCTCTGCTGAGCTAGCTTGGTAAATCCAACTGCCATCAGGGACCCCTAGTCTGGGGGCCCTTTAAAGGGGCTTTGGACACTGAGAAACCTTTGTATACTGGATTTTGCATATAACTCATGGGGCTATCCACCTTCTCATTAAATTCTCCTTTGGGGCCCAGAGACTCCCGGCTACTTTACTCTGGCTCACACGGCCCTGGAGGAAGTCAGGTCATGCTATTCCTTATGGCCAGATTGCTCCTCTAAATGGTTCCTCTCTGATCTCTGCCAGAGTCTCACAAATTATTTCCGGTGTCTGGGGTAACATCTGCAGGGACCGTGGCACTCCCTCCTTCCCTAGGGACACCAGCCTCTCAGATAACCATGTTCTCAATACTGGGTCCTGTCTGGCCTGCCAGCCTGCTGGCTCCAAGGCTGCTTTAGATGAAATGCTTCCCCTCTTATGATCCCTGAGCTGGAGGGAAAAACCAATCAGCCACCCACGGGCTGCTGCTCCTAGATGGCTCTGGAACTTTCTGGTTTGGGCCACTCTGCCAGACAGCATTTCCGAGGCCCCTCCTTTCTCCAACTGCAAAAGGGACTGATGGGCATGGAGTCTCATAGAATGTGCATGGAAGTGACAACTCCCAGGCAAACACCCAGGGCTGAGCTCAGACGCTAGCTAACTTTGTGGCTGAAACCAGTATCTCTCACCCAGAGAGAGGAACAGAGTTGATTCGGGCACAGAGAGGCTCTGATTGCCATGGCAACAAAGGGACAGCCCTGAGGCTGTCATCACCCTTGTAACTCAGGGGCATTCCTCAGAACTGAGGTGTGAGGGAATGTGGGCGTAGATTAGAGGCCGAAAGAATTCAAGAACTTGCCGGGCGGTGGTGGCGCACGCCTTTAATCCCAGCACTTGGGAGGCAGAGGCAGGCGGATCTTTGTGAGTTCGAGACCAGCCTGGTCTACAAGAGCTAGTTCCAGGACAGGCTCCAAAACCACAGAGAAACCCTGTCTCAAAAAACCAAAAAAAAAAAAAAAGAATTCAAGAACTTCATTACATGGGGCTGTGAATACAGTTGGTGTCTAATAAGGGAGTTGCCGTTGAATATACAAACCCTGGCTAAATGAACAATTGTCCCTTCATTCACATATTCAAACAAGTGTGAGTTTGGCTTTTGGTTGGCACTGGCATTCTCATAAACCCACAATGAGTCTGTCTTTAAACACAGCCCTGAGTGTCTGCTCCAATAGGTGTGGGGTGAGCATGGTCAAGCGGTTCCCAAGGGATGGTGACCTAGTTGTCCAGCAGCAATCTTTGAGAACCACTGACTTGGAGTAGCAAGTGGTAGTGGCTGCGAGCGTCCACCCTTGTGAGCATCTTTCCAGTCTAACACTGAATTTGTAAATATTCCTGAAAGTACTGTGTATTAGGTGTGGGAGGGTAGCGTAGAGCAACGGCTTCTCCGAAAAGAAAGTGTTTGTGCAGACTACGTCTCGGTACAGCCTGTGCAGTCAGGGAAGAGAAGTGATCATTTTATTAAACACATAGAATATGCTGGGACCCCTCCTCTCCCACCACCTCACCTAAGTTAAGTTCCTGAAGTTGCAGTGAAAGAGGAATAATTAAATCCCATTGCATGGGTGAGAAAACTGAGGCTGCAAGTGCCAAAGGAAAAGCCCAGAACTCGCAGCAGGAACGGAGCCCCCAGGTCTGTACCTGGACAGACAGACACCTTGGGGTTGCCGTGGGCCTTCGGCGGCTGCTGCTATCTGAGCTGTAGGCACCGCACAGCCTGGACACAGCTGCAAGCCAGCCAGCGGCGCTCTCCTCTCCCCTCCAGGGTCCTTCAAGTGTTTTCACTGATGGGTGAATTCAACAGATGCCTTTCGATCGCAGCCTATTAAATTAGCCCCTCTCTGCAGCCAAAAGAAGATAATTGTGTTTTCATTAGCCCTGGGTAATGTATTAGCCCTCGGTGGCAGCCACATAGAGTAAGCAAACCAAGTCCCTCTTCCCTCCGCTCGCCTGGGCCAGCTCTTAGCAGAGGACCGTGGAGGATACTGACGGGGGTTTTATCCACCCACTGTCCGTGCAGGGGTTTGGAGTGAGACCCCACGCCGGGAGCAGATGTCTGGATGTGTGTCAGCCGACTCTGCCCCTCTCAGACGGAGAAAGGCGACCTCTTTGTCATCTACCCCTAAATGCCCAAGGCTGCTTCTGGTAGAACCAAGCCATAGCACCCTCATAGGTCACCACATCCAAGGAGCATTTGGAGGACTGTTGTTATCACCCTGCTCAGAGCCACCTAAGTGGTGGCAAGATCCTCTGGCTTGTTTTCCTGCACTTCTTGGGAAAGTTAGTTCTGCCCAACATTAGCCAGGAGGCTCCCGGGGCCAAGAGTCACTCCTCCCCCTAACACTAAGATCCCAGCACAGTGACTGACTTCATTCCCCTCCCCCTTTCTCTATGAGACACCAAGCACTTTGGGGTCCTGGGGATAGAACCCAGGCTCTCATGCACAATCAGAAGGAGCACTACCTCTGAGCCATGCCCACCCCCCTCCCCCGCCCCAGCCTAGATCTGGGTTCTTTTTTTTTTTTAAGATTTATTTATTTATTGTGTATACAACATTCTGCCTCCATGTATGCCCACACGCTAGAAGAGGGCGCCAGATCTCATTACAGATGGTTGTGAGTCACCATGTGGTTGCTGGGAATCGAACTCATGACCTCTGGAAGAGCAGCGGGTGCTCTTAACCACTGAGCCATCTCTCCAGCCCTAGATCTGGGTTCTTGTATTTACTTTCTTACCCACTGTTTGGAGAGGCTCTGTCTTCAGAGCATCTAATGCCCCCCTCTGTCAGGCACGAATGAGGAAAGGAAGCCACTTCTTGTCATTTTGGTGATAATTCCACGAGCCGTGTGTCTGTAAAGGGCTTGGTTCAAAACCAGCAAAATGGGAAATGATACCCACGTCCTCGTGGTGGTAAGCTCCTCCGCTGGACTCTGGCTCTGTCGTTGCAGCGGGGTCTCCAGAACCTCTGGGTCCTGACTCACCATCACTTGCACCAGGACACCTAGCAACAGTGACAAGATTGGGGGTTGTGGGTTTCTGCCTCCTCCCCCAGCGGGCCAACTCTGTTTCTTCTGGCACAGCCCAGCCTTGGCCCTGACCCCACATGCCACAGCTCTGCCTTCCCTACTGACCACCCCTCTGGACCTCTGCTGGCCCCAACTCCCATACACAGCACGCTGGCGCGAGTCTCTGGAGCAGGTGAACTGCCAGCCCAGTGAAGAGGCAGCCTCCTTTCCTGGCTTCCTGATTTTCCCCAGTTGCCATGGTAATTGAGGGAGCAGTGTTGAGACCCAACACCATGGAAGCCCAGTACTCAACTTTGAAAAGGATGAGGAGGAAGCTGGGCCCAGGATGGACTGAGCCCAGGCTGCAAGGACTCACTCCAACCTTCGCTTCTGGGACCCTCCTTTACCCGTTGACATATAGTCAATCCTTCTGGTCAGTAACACTATTAACGGCTGGTCTTTTCAGAGCAGGTACTGTATGCCAGACGCTAAACTAAGGGCTTTGCTGCCATCGTTTGACTATACCAGCCTCACCACAGCCCAAGACCCACGTCAGAGGCTCAGGAAGCAGACTTCGGAACTGGCACACCCAGTCAGGAAGTAGGAAGGCCAGTGGAATTTCTCAGGCCTCAACACACACTCTTCACACCCCACAGGTTTTTCTTGTGCTTCTCTCCCCTCCTCTTCCTGCATCCCTCCAGGTCATAGCCCCTTTCCTCAGGCTTGACATGTAACAATATCTGACGACCATGTGTGAGCAACAAGGAGGGGTAGCTGGCTCTCGATCTCAGTGAGATTATACTCCAAGTGTGCAGTGTCTTCGCAGAGACTAAATGGAGATCAAGCTAGTAGCCAGGTGTCTAGGCGTGTTTGGGTCTAAATCCTCCTCTCCTTCCTTGAGTGCAACCCCCTCTACACACACACACACACTCACACACACACACACACACACACACACACACCCCACACTCCTTCCCTCAAGAGTGTGTGAGCAGCAGCGACAGTTAAATGCAAAACCGCCTTGCAATCTGCCCAGGGAAAGACAGCTTTAGAGACGGGTTTATATGGTTACCCATATGTTAGAGCCCCTAAGAAAGGAAGGGAAGAGCTCTTTGAGCCCACCCCTCCCCCAGCCCAGCCCTTGGCCTCTCCTGGCATTGTTGTCTCCAGACCATAGGAGAATAAGACCACCGGGGGTTTTCCACCCCTCTCTCCCCCAGAAGCGATACCTACACTCTGCCCTGAAAAACACCAGAACCGGGCATCCTTTCTAGAACGTCTGCGCACCGAAGAACCAGAGCCAGAACCCAGGCGGTCTTCTGCTCGCTCTGCGAGGGGCTTCTTGCCCTGCCCGGAGGGGCTGTGCTCTACCTATCCCATTAAGGAATGTTTCAACACACAGGACAGAGACAACCACCTGCCTCAGCTAGGTCCTTCCCTGACCAAAACAGCCTGCCTCCTCGCTGTGGTCACTATCCAGCCCCCTTCGGGCTCCCCAAAATTGTCATTGTGTGTATGTTTTTTTTTTCTGATAGAAAAAAAAATGGAAATTAGGTTACATAAAAGATGTATGCTTCCAAGCCCAGAGCGGCCCTTTTAATGAGGGTTGCGACGTCTCCCTCCCCACGCCCATAAACCAGCCGGTTGGACGTCACCACTAATTCGTTTCAGCGGTGATAGGATAAAGCAGGGACATTAAGAAATAAATTCCCCCTCACGACCCTCGCTGCGCTCACTGCTCCGTCCCTGCTTATTGATGCAGCTGCGGGCACAAGCGACTACTTAGCACAGCAGCTAAGGCAGAGGCAGCTGCTGCTAGGGTGAGCCGGGTTGCGCGTGGGGACACTGGCAGCCTCCAGTCCTGAACTTGGCTGGGCTAGGGCGGAGCGAGGCGGGAGCTTGGGGCCGGGAGGGGGCGGGGAGCGCTCGCTCAGGAAGCTCCTACCCCGAGGCGCTGCCGAAGCCTGGAGCATCCTGCCGCTGAGCTGAGCGAAGCTCTGGATCTGCACGCTTGACAGCCCCGGGAGAAGGAGGCGCGGGAGACAGGGTGATCAGCGAGATTCACAGCCCTGGAACTGCGCGGGCTCCGGCGGCGGCAGGTGAGTTCTCTGCCCCGGACCCAGTGTATTCCACATACCTTCTCTCAGACCAGTGCTCTAGCTCCGACTGTGTGTGTCCCAACTTGGCTCTCCTTGGCGGCCTGGCTCTCTTGATAATGGGGTAGACCCGGATCCCCGGACTGTGAGCTCCTGGGCAGATGAGTCCTGCCACATCGTTCCAACTTTACAAGGGCAGAGGACCCTCTCAACCCCATTCCCCGGATACCCCCAACCTCCGTGTCACAATGACAGGGATTCACGACCCTAGGAGTGCATGTAACTTGAGGCTGGGGATTCATGACCCTAGAGACCTTGGCACCTGCGGAGGCCTTAACTTTAAGCTACCTCTTCCTCTGGGAGACCCTCTCCTCCTCTATCCCGCTACCACCCTCCTCAAACCCGTGACCCTGTTGGTGACTCTGGCATGGCCAGAGGGTGACAGGGGCTGCAAGGCTGGCTTGCTAGAGTGTTGTTCCTTGACTTTCCAACTTTGCCCCATCAGCCCGGCGCTCCTACAGACTGGCACAATCCAGTAAGGCAGTTCTCACTCCTCCAATCTGGAAAGTTGTACCTCTCCTGCCAAGGAGACTATTAAGAATGCCTGATGGTTCCCAGAGCCAAATGAAGACGCTCTGTGGGTCCCTGCTATGCACAGCTTTTCATCCAAGTGGTCCGAGAGTGAGACAGGGCTCCCAGGAGATCTGGCTTCCCTGATCACTCGTGAACACTTGGGTCTTAGAGTCTAGCACAGGACTCTTGGGTTGTGCCCTAAAGAACAGGAAATAAAAGGCTCACCTCCATCCTCAGGGCAAGGTGGTCTCAGCACTTGCAGCTGTCTATATGCGGGGGACATCGCTGTCTAGAGCAAGAAAGGTTTGTAAGGGCAGTACACCCAGGGCAGAGACTTAGAGGGACTCCCCCTGGGGTTCTAATCCTAAAGCTACCGTTTCAGGTGAGTCCCTTCCCCTCTCCAAGACTATTTTTCTCGTGTGTAAAATAGAGACGTAGCCCTTTCCTGGAGATCTGTTGGCAAAGCTTTCAAACATCGTAAATGTCGCAGTGAAACTGAGGGTAGGTGCTCAGCGAGGGAGATATTGCTGCTTCAGTCTGAAGCAGCTGTGACAGAGCCTGGGGTCTCGGCATCTTGTGATTTCCCATAGACCAAACTGAGGGTCAGGAGGGTGATGTAGGCTGTGCCCACCTCCGTCTCCCAAGCAGCCCCTGGGGAGATGTATCCCATTTTTGCGGCAGATGAGACTCTTTAAAAACATTGTCCGACTCATGGGGAACCCCAAACCTCGCTTCACACATGTACATATTCACAGATTGGGAAGGGAGCTCTAGAGGCACCCTGTAGAGGGTGAGCTGGTAGGTGTGATATGCAGGCAAGCCTGGGGCGCCCAGGGAGTGTCTGCCCCAATAGTGGGGAAGACAAAAAGGAGTTGGCCCTTCAGACCACTCTCTAGGGCAGGTGTGAAGGAATGTACTCCCCCCCCCTTGTCCAGCCCCTCTCAAACTAGGATGTGCAAATAACAGGTCGGGGGGGGGAGCATTAACAGCTTCCTGGAGAATTGATTTTCTTGGCTGGATTTTTGCTCTTGTTTTTAGTGGGGTTTGTTTTGGAGTTTGTTTTTTAAGCTTGGGGTGTATGGCAGAATGGAATAGGGGTCATGGCCACTCTTTATCCTTGCAAGCCGCAGCAGAGAGGTTTGAGGATTCTTCATAGGTTTCCAAAAGGAAGTCCTTTTCCCACGATCGCCAATGCCACCACCCCAGTCCAGATTCCAGAAGAAACTGAGGGACATGTCGTCTCTTTGCTTATGCTGCAGGCTACTACCGCATATAGGATGTGTCTGGAATATCTTGACTTCCCCAATACCTAGGACAGCTACCTGAACCTCACTTTCCAGATATGGAAACTGAGGTAGGGCCAACCAAGCTAGCTGCCCATAGTCAAAGCAAGGAGACCTCCATCCTGGTTTGTGGCTTCCTAAATGGGGGGAGGAGGGATTGCATGCATAGCCAATTGATCTGTGCCCCTCTTTTGTGTACATGGCCCCACTTCCAGATGCATCTACACAACCAGACTACCCCCCAAAAGGCTTCATAAAGTCTGGGAATCCCTCCCCACAGTACCCAGAACATGCAGGGAAAGCCCGAGCAGCATAGTGGAGACCTGTTGAAGATTTTTGCCTGAAGCTAAGATTGCTCCATGGCTGTGTAATCTTCCATTTGGTCACTTAACATCTCTGAGCTTCAGTCCTGTTATCTGTTAAATGGGAGAATCACTCCTACAAGAAGCCATCTTGATGATATTGTGATGTCTGTAAGAGGCGTTCTGGAAACACCCGCAGTGTGTTAAAGTTGTTGGGGTTTTTTGTTGTTGTTGTTGTTTTGTTTAGTTTTTAAATAAAAGAGAATTAACCCAGGTTGGGAGGTCTGCTCTGGAGTAAACATGGGATGTAGAATCTCTTCCTGTCGCTTGTTCATTTTTCCCAAATGGCCAATGCCAGCCCCTAAGGGCTTTATCTCTGAGGAGCAGCCCTGGGGAAAAGCCGAGAGCCTGGGGAGTGCTCTAAAGTAGAAAGTCCCCAAGGGGTCTCTACATCAAGCAGCAAGGAGCTGTCCAAGGTACTAGGGGAAAGTGTTCCAAATACTTCCAGCGTTCACAGAGATGACTTGGGGGGGGGGGGGGGGTCAGCTTGCCTACGTTTGTAAGCACGAAGACATTTGTTTCATATTTGTGTGTCCGTGAGTCTGTGTCCCCAGCGTCTTACGACAGCTCTTGGCTGTCAGGTTCCGGGTAGGTCGCGGCAGGGGTGGGTGTGCTTCGGAATGCAGTTAAGAACCACAGGCAAGAAGTATGCTCACCAGAGAAGCTGGCATACTCAGAGGTTGAATTTGGCAACTCAAGAGCAATTTTTACACTGGCTGTTTCCACAAAAGGGCACGCTTTTCCCACCCCAAAACAGTGTGGGACTGGGTGGTTAACAAGGCAAAGGCTGCAGACTGTATAGTCTTGGCTTTTTGTCTCCTGATGTCTGATGGGCTTAAGACATCTTCCAATCGGGTGAGTGTCAAATGCCTGCCCAGCCGACTGGCATCATCAGAACCACAAGCTGGAAGCAGAGATGTCAGGACCCCTCTGCAGAGTCCTCGTCTCCTGCAGGAGACATGAAGTAACTGCATTTAGACAGAGCTCTTCTAGAAGATTCTAAAGCCCTCGGTTTCTGACCTCATTGTGAAGGAGGGATGCTAAGGACAAAGGAAGGCTTGTGACTTGTCAAAAGTCACATAGCCCTTCTCTGACAAAGTAGGGGCTAAGCCTCACATCTCGGCATTTTGTCTAGAACTTGTGGATGATATTTTATGCTGTCTTCTCACTAGAGTCCCCAGAGTCAGGCATGGGTGGTGCAGGGTTTCTTCTCTTCTGATCATCCCTGTAAATTAGGGAGCTGTTGGGGGTTCCTCCTACCTCAGTCCTGAGTTCTAATCAAGCACTAAGCATTAGTCCAGTGGTTAATCCTTTCAGGGGGAAAGTTCCTCTTTAAAGTGGCCCATCAGGAATAACTTCAGGATCAAGCGAGCAGGCTCCCACTGAACTGTCACTGGTCTCGCCAAAGCCCTTGCTTTGTTCTCAGCCCTGGCCCAGCCTTGGCAAATCTTCAGTGCATTGGCAGATCTCAAGCTTCTGAGCCTGGGAAGGAAGAAGGCTACTTAACCTGCTATGCCAGGCACCATAGCCAGCTCGGAGCTGTTCAACACAAATAACCCATCCACAGAAAATGTCACTGAGTCCCCAGTGTGAGCATTAGCAGGGCTCTGTGGGCACACATGCTGCCATATCGGTATTCAACGAGAAAAGACAAGAATTAGGGCAGTTGCTATGGGTGGCCCCACAACATACGCCCTCATTTGCCAGATGTGACATTGTGTGTGTTAACGCTACATGTCCATAGGCAGGTACGTGATACAAGTGGTATGACCACCCTAAGGTTGGCTGGATCAGGCAGTGGGTCATCTAGCAAGCCCTGTGCCGAGTGTGACATTTCTTTAGGGGTGATGGGAGGTACTTTTTCACTGCTGCCATGGTGGTGTGGCTGAGGGCATCAGGGGGGATGTCTCAGAGGCAGGGTTATTGGAGATGGTACCCCAATTTTCACTAATCTCTTTGGCAACAGGGCATCTTCCACTATTGCTGGCCACAGTCAAATCACAAGACTCAGTATGACAGAGAATCAATAGGGGCATCGTTCTGGGATGCATCCAGGGACTCAGTGACTTGGGGATGAATGAGTTGAGCTCCCCAACCCTTGGTGTGTCATCAATGAAATCATAAGTACTGTGTGAGCTGTCAGGAGGAGTCAGTGGGGCAGCATTGTGAAAAGGGACAGAATCCAGTAGCCAAAGCAAGAAGAAGGATCCAGAGAGCAAGAGACCCCTTCCATTGGCCAGTTGTTTGGTCTAAGCCTTAACCTCATGCTCAACCTCCATTTTCTGCCTGTGAAATGGAGATCTAGGAATCCATGGCGGATCTACCCAGATGCCTATTGGGATACTGTGGCTGGTATACAGTTGTGTCTTGTTATTTTGGTTTTGGATGGGTGGGGGAGGCTTTTGTTATAGGCTCTTATTATACGCTCTTGTTACAGTTGATTTGGCTTATGGATCTAGATCATCTCAGGACCAGCACATATGGTCCGTGCCATTTGACTGACCTCAAAGGTGTTTGGGCTGCAAGCCCCAGGCTAGCTGCCCTCATAGCCTCATTAGCATCAGTGCTCTCTTGCTCACCTGAGACAAACATTCCTCAGACAGGATCCCTTAGTTATGCGCAAAGGGAGAGTTTCCTGTTCAAATGGAAGTCAGAAACCCTTTGCTAGGGACATGATTTCTGTGTTCAACAGGGAAGTGCACGCTGTCTCACACTGTACCTAGTGTCTCATGGTACCTGGTGCCACCTTGTCTCGATGGTGGTTTTCCAGGAAGGGTAGTGCTGA